CCCCAAAACCCCAAAACCCCAAAACCCCAAAACCCCAAAACCCCTTATTTTTCATCAATTATAGAAAATAATGGATTCATTATTCAACCTCAAAAATTTCCATCATGTTCGACTGGGCTGTTACATTATCTGTATTTGCTCTTAATGCTATTACAACATTTCCGGATGCTCAATATCCCATGCTCTTAGCTGCTTTCATTAGATTTTTCAAAATTCTGTCGATACCTCGAAAAGAAGGAACTCTATACCCAATACACCCTCTCATCAGGTTCATTTGTCGAATAACGGGGAAAGATGTGCTTCACGCTAGAATCTTCTGGGATGGCCTATACTTTGATACCAGCCTTGCCATCCTGCCTGTCTTGGTAATAACAATAATCAGGTCTATATTCAAGCTCAAAGCTGCTTGAGCACATGAAGCAGCTAAAAGCTCATTGGTTTCCATAATAGTTGGGGAATATTTTACCAACTCTAGGTGCAGTTTAGGATAATTTATCGTACTCTCAGCTTCAGTAACAATTCGAGACATCATCTTCACAGCATTTATTGGGAAGGAACCACCTGCTGTCTCTCCAGAGAGCATCACTCAATCTGCTCCATCGAGGATCGCATTCGCTACATCGCTAGCCTCTGCTCTGGTAGGCCTTGGACTTTTGATCATTGATTCCAACATCTGAGTAGCAACAATTCATGGTTTAGACCAGGCATTTCACTTCTGAACCATGTATTTCTGAGCAAGGAAGACTTTCTCAGTTGGGATCTCCATGCCAAGATCGCCTCTGGCGACCATGATTCCATCAGATGCCATTAGAATGTCATCAAAGTTCTCAAGACCTTCTTGGTTCTCGATTTTGGAAATTATTTTAATATAAGCGCCTCTGGCTCCAAGAACATCTCTGATGTATTCTACATCAGAGGCTTTCCTGATGAAAGAGGCAGCAATAATGTCAACTCCTTCCTTAATACCGAATTCGACTAGGTCATTCTCATCTTGTTCGGTAAGTGTGGGAAGGTTGACTTCAATTCCTGGTAAATTCATGTTCTTCTTCTCTCCGATAGTAGCATCGTTCATGACCTTGACTCTGACTCTATCCTCGTATCACTCGGTTACTAGACAGCCAAGGGCTCCATCAGCGATAAGGATCTGGTCTTTCGGTTTTACAGTGGTGGGCAATTCCTTATAATTACAAGCTATTCTGGTATTATCTCCTTCAGTGCTATAATCAATGACGATATCAAGACTTTGATCCTTTATGAATGAAACAGGTTGGTGATCCTTCAGAAATCCTGTCCTGATTTCGGGCCCCTTGGTATCAAGCAAGATCCCACAAGAGTTACCAGGCCTGAGCTTATTTAGCCTCTTTTAACTTCTTGATCATCTCTCTGTGAGTATCATGGTTTCCATGGGAGAAGTTTAGCCTGGCGATGTTCATGCCTGCATCAAGCATCTGGAGCAGAACTTCCAGAGTTGATCAAGATGGGCCAAGTGTGCAGATAATCTTAGACTTTCTCTGAGTCACATCTGTTGGCTTCAGCATATCACTCACATCTAGTTTATGAGTTTCCATATCTATTAAATCCAAATTTTATTTTAAAAATGGGGTTTTGGGGTTTTGGGGTTTTGGGGTTTTGGGG